GAGGGATAGCAACAGCACATCCCCCCAAACCCATAACCCTGTCAACCAAGAACCCCCGACCACCGGTGAAGGCAAAGGCCGCATAAAAGTTCGAATCCAAAGGCTTTTTTAGCTTGGGAGTTAACCAAAACAATAATTTTCCACCGCTAGCGAAATCAAAAATAAAACATAGGATTTGCCAAAAACAGAAAGTTCCTGTTTCCTTCTGGATTTTTATTTTTTATTTTATATGAAAAGAAGGAGTGATCCGTATTATTTATACCCACCCTATGACTCTATGAGATATTGAGATGTAGCAACTTAGCAAGCAGGGCTGCAGGGCATAGGCCATATCAATCCATCCATCTTCTGGAAAAAAAAGGGGCCCACGCGAATAGTGGGTACTAGTCCACCATCACACAGTACAACTGAAATTAGCCAAACCCACTCACTTCACTGGTGGTGGTGGACTTAGTCAGATATGATCATGCGCAATGGCCCACAGCCCACGGCCCCATCCATCAAAAATTCAAAATTAAAATCAATATATATATATATATACAGAATTATAGAGATTAGAAGCCAGAAGGGATATGAGAGAGTGCGCCAGCCACCACCCTTGCGATCGAACATCATCGCTTTGCTCCGTTCCGGGCTCAACTCAGGATTGGGAAGCTCAAGCTCGCGCCCTTCGAATTTTTTAAAAACCGGCAGGCAAAGGCAAATCAACCTCCATCCTTATTCCTCACTCTCCTCACCTTTGTATTTGCTCTGAACAAGAAAGAAAACTAACGGCGTCGTTGATGGAACCCAGCCATCGGGCTCTCTCTTTGTCTCTCTCAATGTGCAGAACAATACCCACCTCATTCTCTTTTCCAATTTCACTACCCACTCTTCTCCTTCTCCACCTCTTCCTCTCCTCCTTAGTCTTGCAAGGCAACTCCCAGAGCGGAATTGATGAACTCTCCATTTTACTCAAACTAAAGCAACACTGGGGAGATCAACCCCCCATGAACTCGTGGAATTCCTCGCTCAGTCCCTGCAATTGGACGGGAATCTCCTGCGTCCATGGTTCCGTTACCAAAATCTCATTTTACAACCAGAACATCACAGGAAAAATCCCTCCCGCCATCTGCGGTCTCAACAACCTCACCTACCTCGACCTCTCATACAATTACATTCCCGGAGAATTCCCAACTCTTCTTTATAACTGTTCCAAACTCCAGTACCTTGATCTCTCCCAGAACTACTTCGTCGGCACGCTTCCTGATGACATACACCGCCTTTCTAGCCTTTCCTTCCTCAATCTCGGTGCCAACAACTTCTCCGGAGACATCCCGTCTACAATCGGGCGTTTGTCGGCGTTGAAGCGCCTGTACCTTTATCAGAATCTCTTTAATGGCACCTTTCCTCCGGATATCGGCAACCTGTCCAACCTTGAAGCCCTCGAAATGGCTTACAACAAGTTCGTGCCTTCAAGGATCCCCGTACAATTCACTCGCCTGAAGAAACTTACTTACTTGTGGATGGCCAGAACGAATCTGATTGGAGAAATTCCGGTATCGATCGGTGACATGGCCGCAATTCGCTGGTTGGATCTATCGATGAACCATTTGAACGGGACGATTCCTACCAGTTTGTTTCTTCTCAAGCAACTAACTAATTTGTATCTTTATGCTAACAGACTGTCCGGAGAGATCCCTGCCCGAGTTGAAGCTTTGGGTTTGACCGACATAGATCTTTCCATCAACAATTTGACCGGTCCCATACCGGGAGATTTTGGAAAATTGGTTAGCTTGACACATTTAGTCTTGTATTATAACCGCTTATCCGGCGAGATACCGTCAAGCATCGCTCGTCTACCTGCGCTCAATGATATTCGCCTGTACAACAATAGCTTGAGTGGGGTCCTCCCTCCCGAATTAGGCCTTTATTCGAAGCTTGAACGTATTGAGGTCGCGAAAAATCGGCTTAGTGGCAAGTTGCCAGAAAATCTGTGTGCCGGCGGCATGTTGAGAGGAGTGGTGGTTTTCTCCAACAGTCTCAGCGGAGAAGTCCCGGCATCTCTTGGTAATTGCAGTAGTCTTACCACCGTACAGCTTTATAATAACGGGTTTTCCGGTGAGATTCCTGACAGTCTCTGGTCGTCATTGAATCTATGGTCCTTGATGATAAGTGGCAATTTCTTTTCGGGCAAGCTTCCCGGAAAATTGGCCTGGAATTTAACACGACTGGAGATCAGTAACAACAGGTTTTCTGGAGAAATTCCCTCAGATATCCGAAACGCAAGCAATCTGGTAGTCTTCAAGGCCAGCAACAACCTATTTTCCGGCAAAATTCCTGTGGAACTGACGGCCCTCCCCCACCTCACAGTTCTATCGCTCGACGGCAATCGACTTTATGGAGAGCTTCCATCAGAGATAATTTCTTGGAAGGCACTGAACTCTCTGAACCTCAGTAGAAATCAACTCTCGGGTCAAATTCCCCGTACCATCGGGTTACTTCCAGACCTTAGTTACCTCGACCTGTCGGACAACCAACTTTCAGGCAATATTCCATCTGAATTTGGGCTTCTTAAGCTCGTATCTCTCAATCTCTCCTCAAACCAATTGATAGGGGAGATTCCTACTGAGTTCGACAACATGGCCTACGAAAATAGCTTCCTGAATAACCAAGGCCTATGTGCAGCTACTGGCATCCTAAACCTCCGTTCCTGCATTTCCGAAACCCGAGACTCGCACAAATTTTCGCACCGACATCTGCCCATAATCCTATTCTTTGCCGGGGCTCTTTTTCTGGTTACCGTGTTATCCACCTTGTTGTTGATCAGAGACTACAGAAGCAAAAGGCGTGGACGACGTCATCCTCCAATGTGGAAGCTCACTTCTTTCCAGAGGTTGGGCTTCACAGAGTCGAGCATATTGTCAAGTTTGACTGAGAGTAACCTAATCGGGGGCGGTGGATCAGGGAAGGTTTATCGGGTCCCCCTTCATCGGTCCGGCGATGTAGTTGCCGTTAAAAAGATATGGAATAACAGAAGATTGGGTGAGAAGTTGGAGAAGGAATTTGAAGCAGAGGTTCATATATTGGGGACAATTCGACATTCCAACATTGTGAAATTAATGTGCTGTATCTCGAACGGGAAATCGAAGCTTCTGGTTTATGAGTACATGGAGAACTGCAGCTTGGATCGATGGCTCCATGGGAAGAAGAGGGGATTGATACCATCCGGCTCAGTCCATCATACGGTGTTGGATTGGCCCAGAAGGTTGCATATCGCAATTGGAGCCGCCCAAGGGCTCTGCTACATGCACCAAGACTGCTCTCCTCCGATCATTCATCGTGACGTAAAGTCAAGCAACATCCTGTTGGATTCAGAATTCAATGCGAGGATTGCAGATTTTGGGCTGGCCAAAATGCTGATCAAACCAGGGGAGCCTGATACCATGTCAGCTGTAGCGGGCTCTTTCGGCTACTTAGCTCCAGGTAATCAAGCGTAACAATTTGATCGTTTCTAATATTTGAAAAATCTGTAAAAATAAATAAAAATAAATTTTTTTTTGATATATATTAATTTCAAATGGTTGCAGAGTACGCCTACACGACCAAAGTGAACGAGAAGGTTGACGTTTATAGCTTTGGGGTGGTGCTGTTGGAATTGACAACCGGTAGGGAAGCAGGCGACGGAGATGGGGATACATGTCTCGCCCAGTGGGCGTGGCGACACCTGCAAGAGGATAAACCCATCGTGGAAGCTCTGGACAAGCAGATCAGAGAAGCTTGTTACTTGGATGAAATGAGCATCGTGTTCAAGCTCGGCCTCATTTGTACTGGGACCTTGCCTTCCACCAGGCCTTCAATGAAGGAAGTGGTGCAAGTTCTAATGCGATGTAGCCCTCTGCAAGACCACGGAGAGAAGGAGAAGGTGGGCAGAGGTGAGTATGATGTCGCTCCCCTGCTCAGCAGTGCTAAATACATTTCCAGTTACAAGGAAAGCCGGAGTAGGAGGACATCGGACGATGATAGCTTGTCATATAACGTATGATCACCACCCATGAGATGGATGCCACGCCATCATCACAAACCAGCCTCTCATACTCAATACAGTTACAAGTTACAACAACACTATATATGCACACCATCATTAAGAGGTGACTACTAGTAGTATGGCCCTGATCCTGACCTGGGTTGCTCTTTCATCCATACCAACCATGTACGAATAAGTTGAATGACTTAACTTTGGTTTTGATCATCTATGGAACTGTTTTTCCAGTTTTCAATTTTCATAGGCTTCACTATGTCAGTCATTACGACATGCAATGTTGATTTGTTGTGCAAAGCAAAGCAGACCACAGGCCGGAGATGATGCTCTGTTTCCCAAACAAGTATAGAGGAACGAGCTGTAACTTACCCGTTAGTTCATGAAATTCATCAGTACTAGTAACCAGGATTGATGCATAAAATGCTCAATTTGGAACCACCCCCATCACTGACAATTAATATTCACAAATTGCGAAGGCGTTCACTGAAAGAACCCAACAGCCAACAGCAAGCTTCAAAATTTTGTCACCTATCGGGACGTGTCATGTATTCATATCTGATACGTTAAATATTAAATATTATATTTTATACTTCTAATATTTTCATGGGGAGGCCTTGCCATGACCGGACAAATCTACCAAATTCAAACGATGGTAATTGTTGAATTCAATCACCAGCCAAATCCAGTCAGGAAGACTGGAAGAGCACAGCATAGAAGAACACAATGCTACTACAGAACTAGACTCTTTTGAATAATTGACAAACAACCTGTTGTATCCTGCATCTGTACGGTTGTTCCTCAGAATTAGTTTCAAACTTTAATGGAGTAGCCAAATGAGACGTGTTAAGAAGGAAAAAAAAAAACCGTAGATTAAGCACAGAATCGCAGAGCTACGTTTACTCCGGTTGATAATCTGGCCAGGTACCGTACCTCTTGACTTTCCAAAACGAAGTCGTATTTTATCATAACAATAAAAGAAAAACATATAAAATCATCTAGCTAATCTTTTGGGTGACATCCGATCTGGCGTGATTCTGAATACAGAAGTAAGATAAGAGTGGAAGAAAGAACGGTGACCAAAGTCGGCAATACGTCAAGCAAAAACATTCATTCAACAATAAAAATCCTGGTTTAGCATTGGAGTAAAAGTAGCTGCCTTAAAGCAGGATAAAGACACATTTCGCAGTTTTATTCTCCAGACACTGAAGTTACACTGTACTTCACTATTAACCAACCCACGGCCCCCCAACGCAACCCCAACCTTACAAATGGCATGTAGGAAACAGGACGGAAGAGGCAAACTGACAGGCCGAAGTGGGAAAGTTCAAATGCACCATTTCCAGGTCCTGCAATTATACATTTAATCTACCTCTCATAATCATATTCTGCAAAAGCCATAAATATAAGGTTTGCTGGAACAATCTCCAAATATGAAAAAGAAACGTAAAGGCCTAACGCTAATCTAGGTAAGAAGTGAAAAAGAAAACAAGGGGATAAAAGGGAAGAAGAAATGGATAAAAAAGAGTAATAAAAATTCACTATTTCCTCTGCAACAAGTTACTAGCTTCTTGTTGATCATTCTCAGGAGTCCTCAACCTCCAGATACTGGGAATGAGAGGCTGCAAGAAGGGCAGCTCCAATACCCGAGCCATCATTGGAATGTTCAACGACAACACTCTCAGAGGCTTCCTCTCCCAGCAACTCTTTGAGAGTATTTTCTAGACAATTTCTGAATTCGGTGTAATGTTCATACAGCCCACCATCCATGGCTACAACTGTCCTCTGCTTCTCCCCTTCCTTTATTATGTCTCTGCCCATTTTCTTCAGGATGCCTAACATTCCTGCTGCTGAAAGGCGAGCCCCCCGCGTTGCAACAATGTTACAGAGCTCAACAATGGCTCTTCTTGTCTTCAAGGAAGTATTAGATATCTGAAATAAGAGGAAAAAACACCAAAATAAATAAGCAAACTTGTGAAGAAAATGAAAAAGCAAACAAAATGGCTTTTCATATTTTCAACGATGGCTTTTCAGTTTCAGCCACATAATCACCCTTGTACATGATTCACATTTTCATATTTACGACCCCCACCCCCCAAAAGAAAATAAAAAGCAAACAAAATTCTTCAGCTTGGTCTAACAGTTTAGTGGAGGCAATATGATTTATCAGGTTAGTCATGTTCACAAATGAAAATTAGCAATTGATATTTGATACTTTGTTTCACACGAAAATATGTGCAAATAAAACACTTCTCCACTTTTCATTCATTTTTTTCTCGCTTTCCACTTCCCTCATTTTCTTTCTTCATTATTTTTTTCCTGGTGGTGATGATGGATGTAACTAGTAAAAGCTGTAGCTCCAAACAAGGTTGTGCAAAAAGCATACCCCTAAGATATCCTTCAATTTGCTCCCCACCACTTTGAGATCTGAAGAGGTGTCATGATGCATGGCAGACATGTCAGGCGTCCTGCAGATTACATAACCCATAATGTAGCAATAAAACCTGAGGGAAACTGAAGCTTCTACATGGATAATGAAACAAAAATGTACTAGCTTCATGTTCAGAAGAGTGTTCATAATATAACTATCCATGTCAGATTTAAGACAACCAACTACTTATGCACAGTAACAAATTTCAAGCTTCTCATCAAAATTCAAAAGTTGGTCCCAATCAATTTTTAATGTGGCTCATTTGGCCTCCCCCCCCCCCCAAAAAAAAAAGGTTTCTAATGTACCTTACCTTCATTAAGTTTAGAATATAAACGTAGAAGTTGTTATTGACTGCATTAACTAGGGTGACTAATGCACAATAACCAATAAATAGAAACTAATTTACATCTCAAACAATAGAAGAAGTCAAGAACACCCATGACAATGCAAAGTACATTTGCAGCATGGAAAACCAAAAAAAGAATGAACTATTGAAAGCTCAGATGCTCATGAAGACGCTAGGGCTGCAAATGAATTGGGTATCCAATCCGATTGAATTTACCCATTTAAATCGGATTCAGATATATAACAGTATTAAATGAATCGAAATCGAATCAGCTAATATGATTTGTTTATTTATCAGATCGAATTCAGATAGACTCCAATTTGATCCAGTTATGTTGTATATTATACATGTGCATAATAAAAAGGATGGTTGTACATTTTTCCTTTATTCTTTACAAGTTTAAATACTTCTATACTTTTGAGGGATCTTTGAACAAAAGGACGTGTAATCCCAAAGGTCTTCTCCTACTCTCTCTGTCCATGACAGTTGTACCCTGTTTTTATTATGCACATATTTTTAAATTGTGAAAGATCTGGCATTAAATGTGGAGTTATCTTTTCAATTGCAAAGAAGAGAAAAGGTAAAGCTACTGCCTTTCATATATTCTGTTTCCATGAGAACAAAGAGAGACAGAGTTAAAGAGATTAAACAATTGAAGAGTTCAGCAGAGAAAGCTGGTTAATTTTGGAGCAATTCCAATAGTAGCATGGTTCTCTGAATGGAAGAGTCTAGCAGAGGAAGATAGGGAAGATAACATCAATGTGATGGAGCTAATCTATTACACAGAGAAGCAGCTAACGAGATTAGGAGGAGAGGAGCAGTGCCAGCTCTTGAACCGGAAAAGACGAAGCTTTGTGTCTTTAAATATCTAAAGAGATTCATCAAAGAAGCCATGGATTTAAGATACGTGTTGCTCATCCCTGATATCTTTACTCCTATAAAACATTGACCTTTTTGTTAAATTGTCATTTGAATCGAAGTGGATTATGATTGGATATCAAACATTTCTTATCAAATTGAATTTGAATGTACCCCTATTCGAATTCAATTTGGTCTGTTTGCAGCCCTAGAAGTTGCAAACCAAAATAATAAGCAAAGGTGAAAAAATGTCCCTGCAATTCAGGAGAACATCCCCAAATTCCCCCTTGGGTCACTAGACCCCAAAATACCTTGTTTCTCTCCGCATCTTGTTTTCCCAGCATGTCTGCCAAACTGTTAGCAGATCAAGGGGCCCACTTAAATTTGATATTTAGCTCCCTAATCAACTCCCTTGTAACTCTTAATCATATGTATATACTCTGTAGAACCACGTACCCTCCAGGTTGTTCTGTGGCCAGCTAATAATAACAATTTTTGAATCCTCCTCCATGATGATTTTTCTACAGTTTAAAAGATTTCTCCCTTCTTAGACCCAATAAATATCTCTTATTATATGCTGTGCCCTCTGTGTTGAAGCCTTGAAGGAGGAAGAAAAGAAAGAAAATTTTAAATTAAAAAAAAAAAACACAAATTTGCACAAAAGCACGAGCATCCCACATACAGAAACCACCATCAATCAAAGGAATGGAAACCATCTGTCTCAGTGTCTCTCAATTTATAATTGTGCATCTCCCTCTCTTGCGTGTATAGCATGCTCAAAGTACATTCACAGAGTCATGCACATAACAAACTCTCGTCCATAGATGCCAAGTTATGAGCTTCTCAAATTTCCTGATTTTTCACAATTTAGGTAACTAGATTTATAACCCACAACTCTGATATTAAACCCTAATGATTCTTTTCTATTATATATGACCAGGTCAAATTGAATTGTTTTCCCATCCAATTAATTACAGAACATGTACATCCATCTCTCTTTTCTATCATAATCTTTTCTTAGAACCCTTTTATTTCATCTCTTAAGAATCCTGCAAATAATTCTTAATCCTAAACATACTCTACTTGTGAAACAGATACTAGGTTGGGATTGCTGATAGGAAGTAGCAGGGTTCCAGTATTTCAGTGATGAGGAAACTGATTTATAGAAGATATGAAATAAAGCGAACACAAGAGATTGTCGGTTAAATGTGAGACAGACCACATGTTTGCAAACAGGGTTTTATTGACCTATTAACTTTCACCAAGATCTGATGGTTAGACCATACAACATACCATGCCTTGTTGTACCATCCATCATTGTGCCCGTAATTGGACTTCCAATACTTTGTTTTTTATTTTGTTCTCTTTTTCATTCATGGATGAGGTGTATCAGCATTACATTTTGTCTCATTTTTTATTGCTAACGAGATCAAAGAGCATCGTTAATAAAAGCAGTGTTTTAAAAGGCATGGGAGGCGTACGCCTGAAGGCGTGCCTACAGGCGAGGCACTCCCAAAACGCGGAGGCATATGCCAGAGGCACTGACACCTCTGAGGCATATGCCAGAGGCGCTGACACCTCTGAGGCATATGCCTCAGAGGTATATGCCTCATGTGCTTTTTTCACGAGGCGTGCTAGAGGCATATGCCTTATGCGCCTCATGCACACCTCATATAAAAAGACTGAAAAAATAAAAGAAAAAGGAAAGGAAAAGAAAGGGAAGGGAAGGGAAGAAAAGACAAGGGGAAAGAAAGTGGTCTGCCCTCAGCCCCTTTGGCTGGATGCAACTTTATTCTTCTTAATATAAAAGATTTTTATCAAAAATAAAGAAAAAATGAGATCCCCCTTCCTGTTCTTCCTCCTCCCCTTCCTCTTCCTTCTTCCTCTTGTGTTCGGCAGGCTTACACCTCTTACGTTCTGAACTACACCTCATGCCTCTAGGTAGTGGAACACCTTGCGTCATGCCTCCGCGTTTTAAAACATTGAATAAAAGCTGAAGCAAAATACAACCTTCTAGGCACATTAACCAACCAAGAAATCAGTCTCCTACTTTTAGCCATGATAGATCCTTTTTTAACCTTTAAATAAATCAGTCTCCCATTTTTACCATTTCTGTAATCTCCAATATCCTAAAACCAGCCCACATACCTATATCATTCAAATCCAAAAATTTCCAATTTCATAACCTAGTTAAAACCCTTCAACTTGTGTTCTGCAGTCCAAACAAACCCTATTTTGTAATTATAAAAAAACACTATTTTGTTCTGTCTAAACCCTTAATTTCAGAATTTGTTTAAAATTTTAGCAATACTGTAGCTAAATTGTTAAATTCCTTCTTTCTCCATGCAATAAGGCTGCATTCATATTCGGGGAGGCAGAAAGTGAAAGTGGATTCAACATGCCACCAAATCATTGTCTTGAATGACAGTCCTCCTGCAGAATTTTTTTCCACTAAAAATGAGGAAAATGCAGTGGAGAAGCCACTCACAGGACTCCCCCCTGCCTTAATTTTTTGCCAAACAGAGAATCCCTAAATTAGCAAAAAGAGTACCTTTTTGCACATGCTTTCTGATTCATCTCAAATCCAAAAACAGCCCAACTTTTCTGCCTCCAGAAGTCTATATAAAATAAATTTCTTAAAACCCTAAACTTGTTTCTCTCTGTCCATGGACTAGCTAGAGTATAATTGCAGCTTGTCTTGCACCTAATAATAACTATTTAACTTCAGCAATGCAAATTAGCCTTTTTTTTATCAGCACAATGCATACTAGCTTTACGGAAATATAATAAAAGAAAGACATGTAGATATTCATAAGGTTTACATGCATAGCCTACAACACCATGGCATACCTCAGTATAAATGGAACTGTAAGTTTCAATGGAACAGTGTCACCAAAAAAGGCAGCTTCCTCAGCCATCCTTAACAAGACTCTGCGTACAATGTCTCCTAAGTACATTCCAGAAATAATCTTCTCAAATATCTACAGAGAATTATAAAAAAGAATTAGTATACAATAATTTAGGTATTATTCTGCGATAACAATGGCAAAGGTTACCTGTTCACCAGGGTTTAAACTCTCTGAATCCAATGCATGATCATATTCTGTCAGAGGAAGATGGGACGACCGGAAGTTACCCCACTCCATGTTAATAACCTACATGATCAAAAGTGGTGATGCTTCAATATTTCATCTGCATTTATTATATTTGCACTCTGATTAAGTCTTTCTTTCTCTATATGTGAGAGTAAAATGATTAATAAGATGAGTAAGAAAATAGAGTTAGGAAACATGTTCTGTTAGGAGTGAATAACAAGTAAACAAGAGCAAAGGAATGCACCAGCACCAACCATCTCTCCTGATTTAGGTAGAAGCCCATGCCACTTGGGAATTGCATGTGCACGCTCTACATAAGCTGCATTGGTTCCAGTTCCCAAGATCACAGCAGCAACAACATCATTGTTTGTGTACCTACCTCCTGCTAGTGTTCCAATTGTGTCATTAACCTGCAAAAATCTGCTGATTAAATGCTCATAGATTTAAAGATGTCACCAGAAAAAGAAAAACTCCCCAAATTGACCACTAGTTTGGAAGACTGGAACTTTAAATCATTTTTTGGTTCAAACTATAAATCATTATCTTAGATAAACTAACAGTCAGGTTTTATCTGGGAAGACAGTTGCATAAGCTTACTAGAGCAGCCACACGCATGTCAAGGTCTTGTCTTTCCATGGCTTTAGTTAGTTCCAGAACCACATCTTGGCCAACCTAATTAGACAGCAAAAAAACAAAGCCAAATCAGAAATTTGAAATTGCCAAAGTGTAAAGAACAGCAGAGTAAGAGAAATTAAACAAGCAAGACCAAGTTTGAATTATTTACACCACATTTATCTAAATACAAGTGGGCCCCACATGTCAGGTGGATATCATATATTGTGATTGTCCCAGTATCCCAAGGTTCCTATAGAGGACTTAAACTACACTATGTCATGATAGCTTTGAAAAGACACCAATTCCAATATGGTTTTGGTAGGACTACCCATTATCTCTCCCCTCTCTTGTTTCTTCCTTTATTTTTCTCTACAGCTTGTGCTTCCTTTATATTTCTCATCTCTTCCTCTATTCTTCTTCCTTTGCTGGTGAGACTCCACTATACCAAGTTTTTTTCTGCTGCTTGATTTTTCTTGCCATTCTCCAAACCCACCAGTAAAGCAGTTTTGAGATTCTGCAAGCTTTGCCGTTTACACAGTTAGCCTGCCTTGGACATCCCCATGTTATGACATTCCTCAGGCTGCACATTGGAACCAAATTATTTTTTTACATTTTTTGCCTGTTATATTAGCCTAGTAGACTATTTATATACATTTTTTGCCTGCTATATTATCCTAGTAGACTAGGGGCACAATAAAATCTAGAATGAAAATTAAGAAACACCAATTGAACAGCATATGTTCTATGGGCTCATCCTTCTCTATTTTTGAGCTCTAAGGAGACAATAATCCAAGTTTAGAGAATGAATTACTCCAATGTGATTAGAGAATGATCAACAACTACAGAATCCATAATGTAGGTCATTCAACAGTGAGGGATAGCTTCAGCCACCTATGATCTGGTGGCTGAGATGGCTCCATGGTTGTCCAATGGAATCAACATATTATTTGAAATTGATGGGTTTTATTAAAAAAAAGTCAGATCACGAAAAAATATTGTATATTCTGCAATCTCAACAAGGCAAGAAATCACTTCCCATGTTGAGGAGATGGTGCAAAATGCAAGTATTTTTCTTCTCTATATAATAAATTATTTGCGAGGACAGAAAAATCTGAGGATATTGTTCATAGAATTAAATTTGGGTAACTTAGAATGGCATGACTTGAACAGGCAAGATCAGTTTACAAGTCTAGACATGTTTAACACAAAACTATATAGACCTAATTAAGGATATGTACGAGGGTGCAATAGCCAATGTTTGAACACCTATGGGAGAGACATCAGATTTTGCAGTTATGTTGCGTTTTCACCATGGTTCAACAATTGGCCTTTATATATTTGCATTGGTCTTAGATGAATTGACTACACATATTCAAGAGAAGGTCCCATGATGCATGTTGTTTGCTGATACTATCATTTAATTGATAAACCTAATGAATAATTAAATGCAAAATTAAGTTTATGTACAAATACCTTGGTAACAAGCGGTTTTAAAATAAGTAGGACTAAAACAGAATATATAATATGTAAAGGTGATAATAACAGGAGTACAATTGAGGATACACTTAGGATTAGAGATCAAGAGATAACACAATGTGACCTTTTCTGATACATTGGTTCATTAGGAGAGATTGAGGAGGATGTCGCACATAGAATTAGAGCGGGATGGGCAAAATGGAGGGACACTTCTGGAGTCTAATGTGTTAGAAAAATACCATTGAGGTGGATTAGTGAAAAAACTAGAAAAGGAATAGGGTCAGAAATAAAGTCATTTGAAAGAACCTAGGAATAGCTCCAATGGGGGATAAAATAACAGAAATTAGACTAAGATGGTTTGGTCACATTCATAGAAGACCACAAACAGCACCTGTAAGAAGAAGCAATTTCACAAGTCGAAAGAGCCAGAAGGTCTAGCGGTAGACCAAAAAGGACATGGGTCAAAGTAGTTAGAAATGGTTCTGTCCATAATTTAACAATGGATATGACATCAAACAGAACGAAATAGTGAAACAGAACTCATGCAGCTAGCCCCATAAAGATAAGGCTTAGATAATGATGATGATGGCTCGACAACATTCATCATCATCATCTAAACCTTATTCGAACTATATATGGGGTCAGCTACATGAATCCTATTTTGCCTAATTATGAACACTTGAATCATTTCTTACTATTTCAACACACATCTTCTAACCCCGTCAACTTTGGTGGTTTAACAACATTCATATGTAAAGTTGAAATTTCAGAATACACGAAGTGATGCATGGTTTTAATTGTGCAATCTTGGGATGCCACAGCTAACCCTAGACTGTGCAAAGGTTCAAGGCTCAAAAAATTGTACAAGATTAAAAAAAAAAACGAAATTACTCCTGTAGTTTCATCACAGAAAATTGTAATTTACTGCTCCAGAAGAACTGGAAAGTCTTGTTTCCAAGATTTCAATACCTCCAATATGATTATACCTGGTCTCTGATAGTGATTAGTAGAGTTATTGATCTGTAAAGAATTAATATTCAGACTCAACAACATATATCAACTAATAAAAGTCCGCCTCTAATTCAGCAAATAGAAGAAAGCTGGAATGCAGACTTTACCAACTTTTCCTAAAGAAAACATTCTTCATTTTATTGCAAGAGAAGGCGTAGGCATGGAGCATGAGAACCCACACCCCAATAAACCATATGCATTTAGCATGCAGTAACAAGGATACTCGCAAGTAGCAAGCAATAATGGAGACCCAGTTCTAGACAGAGAGGAATATGAAAAGGAACAAAGAGTGGTCATTTGGCTTCAAGAATAACAGAAGGATACAAGGGAAAACATATTCATTCCATGGGTTTAAAAGGTGTTGATGTGAGGTGTTAAGAGCATATGGCTCAAGGCCAGGTACAAATAAAATGGCTAGCCTCACCCATCTACAAGTTTCATGAGGCTTGTGGCTCACAGCCTTGGTGAGGTGCACACCTCATGCAATCAGCAACGAGTGAATAAGATGAAAAAATAAATAAATAAATTATGTCATATTTTCCAAAGTTCAAAGAAGCTTCATTATTTAGTTAATTACCAATAAAATCAAGCAATGTAAACCCAAAAAAATATCTCCGAATATCCCTCCCAACCCAAAAATTCCTTTGTTACAATTTTCTTATCAAATAAAAGAGTTCTAGTGACTGATACAAGAAATAAAAGAGTCTCACTGTGCCACTCCGCATCTGAATCTACTATATGTGAAAGTGGCATCTCCATTATATGTTCACCCATAATATGTGGTAGTAGGGCCCACCAATCTTAAAACTAAATCTCATGGTTATGTTTTGTTTAAATAGAAATAATATACAAATTAATAGAAATAATCAATAGAATTGAAAATTTAATAAAATTGTCAATCTCTTTCTATCCAATCCCACTTACAAATCATCTAGAACCAAAAATGAAGTGTCATGTTTGTAATGGAAAATATTCATTTAAAAATATTTACAAATTATTTTAAGTTAAAAAAATTAAATTAAATTAGGTATAAATAAAATAAACAGATTCTTTCCTCCAGGTAGAGAAGGTTATAAATGCAAAATAAAATTTCAAAAACATAATATCCATATTAAAAAGAGTATATATGAGTATATATGAATATATATGCTATGAAAGAAATAAAGTGTATCACTGTAGAGTCCAGGAGTTAGATGAAGGGAAAGTTGGAGGGAAAGCTTCACAATCGAGGGAAAGGGCCCGCTGCTACAAGCCTAGAACAGATAACACATCAAGGAGACCTCTCATTGAAGGTTCAAGAAGGAAGAAGAGATACTGTTTTCCTAGAGGGAAAGGCTGTATCGTGGTTCCAAAATTTTTTGGATGCAGCGATGAATGTTGACCGGAAGTTTTCTGCAAGGATTCCCTAAAAACAGAAAGGAAAGATTACACAACAACAAGTATGTGTCTGGTATGACACCCTGGAGGAAAAGTTTGGTAGAGAAAAAGACAACTAGTTATAATCTCACAATGAAAGAATTGGGATGGAAAAGTGTGGCGAATGCCCTGTTTCAAGTTGTAGTTGGAGGTATAGAGTAAAAAAAAAAACCAAGGAAGAAATGGCTACACCTGTAAAAACCTTAGGCTCCGTTTTGGAAGAGTGCAAATGCCAGTTCAGTGCATATATGCACTCTGGTTCAGTTTTGCTTATGTTTGTTTGGTAAGAATGCATTTATGTACTGAAAATGACAGCTTTCACAAATTTCAAGGCATGCTTGCATCCAAAATGAGAGCAAAGTTTGCATCCAAAAAATAGATCAATGTTAAAAAGGAATATTTCAATCTTAGGATTCATGTTTGCACCCATTACAACTAAAAATCATTTGGCAAGAAAGTATATTTGTCAATGCAAAACTAAACCAACTTTGCATTTGCATGGAAAAGGTTCATGAGAAAGAGGTCAACAAGGAAAAGGGAGTTGGGAACTTTTCTATGTCAGAGTTGCAAGAAAAGGTGATGGTAGGGGAAGTAGAAGAGGAAAAATTGAAGGAAGAAGGAAAGGAGATGAGGGGAGTTTTGGAGGTGGAGAAGAGAGGATAGAAATGCAATTCTGAAGGAGTCCGCAAAATAGGCAAACACTTTAAAAGTCAAGAGAATCAGCATCAAGTTCAGGTGTCTAAGGTTTCGCCAAACTGAAGGGAACTTATTAAGGAGGGGTAAGATCATGTGGAGGTGTACTATAGCAGCAATATTGGGGACTGTTTGGGAGGAAAGAAATACAAGAATATTTGAAGAAAGAGAAAAAAGCAAGGAAGCATTGATTGAAACAATAACCTTGAGAGTGGCACATTGGGTAAACAGCATGAAGTTGTTTTCAGATTTCAAGGTAGAAGATTTTTTCAGGGTTTGGGGTGTTATTGCCACCTCCTCTTCAACAAGACAGAAGTTAGTTGAGAACTGGTCTCCCCCAATAGACAGTTTGAAGAAGCTTAACTTTGATGGGAGCTATGTGCTGAATCCGGGCCCCTCAAGCATAGGAGGGTTTATTAGAAATAAAGATGGAAATATCATTGCTCTCTACTCCGGCCAAGTGGGACAGGGTGACTTGGTGAGATCAGAATTCATGGCTGCAGTATTTGGGGTGGAAAAAGCAAAAGAACTGGGTATTAACAGGTTGGTTATTGAGAGAGACTCGAAAACAGTGATAAACTGGATGCAAAAGGGTGAAGGGGTGACATGGCAGATGAGAAACAATCTCAGAAAATTTAAATGGCTCTCAAAGGATATGTCAATCCGAGTGAGATGGGTGAAGAGAACTGCCAATAGCTTGGCAGATAGCTTAGCTAACCAAGGGGTTCAAAGAACACAGCTGTTTTGGGCACAATTGTAATTTGGGTTGGGTCAGTTATCTAATGCTGGATTTCACAACTTCTTGTTGTATCTATATTTCTTCTAATTAATGAAATCTTTTATCTGTTGCTGATCAAAAGGGTGGGAGGGGGAGCTTATTAAGAGTTGGCCCTAGCAAAATTGTGAGGAAATCCAAGATAAGGCTTCATGCGTTGAGGATTGAGGGTCTAGTCCAAGGCGAGGCGTGCGCCTTTTTAAGCAAGGCAAAAAAAAAGCTAAAAATAAAAAATGTCAGAAAATTCAAAAAAAATGCAAAAATATTAAACATAATGTTAATAAAAAATATAAACTTAAATTTTAAAATAAATGTTTTAAAAAACCTATTATCTAAAATTAAAATACATAAACATAACATGTGAAGCATATTCAAATGAAAATTTAAAAATAAAAGCAAACATATAAAACATTTTGAAGCATGTAAAACTCACAATCTCTTTTTTTCCTTAATTGCATTGCTTCAAGTAGCTAATGCGATGTAAAACATATTGCATTCTTGATTCTATGAGTCACCTTTGTACCACGCCTCTCGAGGCAAGCCCGAACAAGTCTATGTTAGGGTCTGAAATTCTTATTTCTCACATAAAAAATAATGATTTTATAACTTCCATTGCCTTTTAAGAAAATATTTTATTGCAATGAATGAATGAACAACATTAGCAGGGGGTTCTCGAAGCCTAACATAGACTTGTTCGGGCTAAAGTTGATTCATTCCTTGCAATGAAATATCTTCTTAAAAGGCAATGAAAGTTATAAAATCATTATTTTTGTGAGAAATAAGAATTTCAGACCCTAACAAAGACTTGTTCGGGCTTGCCTTGAGGAGCGTGGTCGGGGGTCCAAGGGTAGAGCCCCGATCCAGCCGTTAAACTCAAAAAAAAAAAACAAAAAGCGCAAAATTTTAAAAAGGCGCACGCCTGGCTGAGGTGCAAGGCGCATCAAGCACACCAGGAGTCTGGTGTGCCTAGGACCTGGGCAAGGCACATACCCCAAAATGCGCCTTGCCTGTGCTCCTAGGCGCGCCTTTTAAATCATTGGTCTAGTCTTGTTTGTTTCTTTGGGATTTGCAATTTTTTCTTGGGTTTTGGATTGCTCATCGAATCTTTCTTTTGTTATGGGGTGGGTTCAAATGTCAAGATAATTTGGTTTTTCAGATGGGGTTTGTGGAATTATTCTGTTTTGGGATTGTCCATATTGGGGTTTTCTTTGCTCTTGTCGGGTGATTGCTTATCACCTTTCTTAGTAATCTCCTTTTTATTTTTAATAATATTTTATTTTTCATTTACTTTCAAAAAAATATAATATAATGTGTATATATAGTATGTATGTATGTATGTAATAAAAAGGAATATTTAAATTGAATACAAAAGAAATGAATTAAAATCCAAGACACAAAAAAGATATTTCTTGACAAGTAAAACATAAAAACATACAAATACATATAGTAACTTTTTGTGGCTTACACCTCACCTCTCCAAGACCCAACCACCTTGCCTCCACCTTTGGCCTTTTAAGCCTTTGTTTGAGAATGCTTTTTTAAGCACTTATTGGGGAAAGCGCTTAAAAGATTCCAAACGCACCTGAAAAAGCACTAATTGGTAAAAAAAGCCCAATAAGTGCTTTGTCAACAAAATATGCCCATTTTGAAGAAGCCCAAATTTTGGGCTTTTTTAATAAGTGCTTGTTGTATTTCTGGCCCATCTTGGCCTGCCGCCTAATTATCAAAATACCTATACTACCCCCCCATTTGAAAGAAGAATTTCTTCACCAAACACTAATAAGCTGGCTTATTTAATAAGTGCTTATCCAAAAAGCCTGTTTAGAAACAATATGCACTCCCAAACATCGCCAAAGACCTGGATCCATGCCAGATAATTCAACTACAAAGACTTAGTCACATGATATGGAAAATGAAAATTTTAAGGCATTCATAATGTTCAGGAAGAAAGCCAAATTACATTACATATAGCTACCAACATCCTTTAATTTTAAACTTTTGATATTTGTAACCAAGAAATTTAACAATATAGTTATATGTAAACAGGAGCATAGGGAATAAAAATTACCGTATCCTCAATATTGAAACCTTTTGTCCACTTAATTAGATTTCCGGATGCTATTGATATTTGCCTCACTGGGAATGAGAAGGTAAAACCCAGTTCTCTCTGTCTACCAGGAGGAAGATGAAAGTCTTCACCTTCACTAGCAACAAATTTTGCAAGTTCTGATGCAATGTAATCAAAAAGCTCCTGGATTTACCAAAAAAAAAAAACTCTCAAAATGTTAGAAACATGGGATATAATCCAACTGAAGATGGGAAATGACACCTTGGACTGGCAATTAACTCACATCTGAACCCCCAGTCATCAAATGTGGAGGAATTGACACCTCAGTAAATTCTTGCTTGAGAACTTGTCCATCATTCCCACCCAACTGTACTCGCAACACCCGGAAGTTTGTTCCACCAAGGTCCAAGGCATAAAATAATCCTTTCTCATCTCTAAAACAAGAAGGATTAATGAGAGGGAGGCATTCAAAAGTGATATTATTTATATTATGGAGGGATAATTTTACCATAATAGGTGATTTACAAACAAAGACTGATGAATGTTCCTCACTGGTATTCCAATGAAATTAATGTCTTCACCAAATCAAGGTTTAAAATAACAGCTATCATGCCAATGGTTCTGAATCTTGACTGTTCCTTACTGTTTCTTCAATAACAGCTATCATGCCAATGGTTCTGAATCTTGACTGTTCCTTATGAAGGTAGTACTTTTTCCATTTTTATCTATACCAAAGTTTTTCAATTAGAATGATGAACAATTTCCTATTCTATCCAGTTCTACAGTACATCCACAACTACAAAACTGGCTTTTGCAAATAACAATCATCGCTAATAAATTTGTACATTTTGCTTATAGTATTAAATCGACAGGGGATAGTAATATCAAAAGAGGGGGAGAGGAACCCTGCTTAACAAGGGCCCAGTGTCCTGAGTCTCTTGACAGCATTTCAGTGTTTGAAGTTTGAACACCACCGCAATTCAGCTAAAATATTACCCTGTCAAAGGCATCCAACCCTCCTTATTAGAGGAAAACCGATCCCACATTCCACCAAAAAAATAACAACCGGCATTCGTTTAAATGAAAAAAATAAAACCAAGCTGGGCCTTCCAAGGGGCATTGTATAGACTTGCATACAGAAACTATTGAGCATACTAGAACAATGGATGTTCGATTGAAGATCGTTTGCTTTAGAAGCAGTCACCGCTTTTAATCAATACATCTCCAAAACTAATTAAAATTTGCAGAAAAGAAAAGGTCGACAACGATAACTTGAAAACGCAAAACTACAACAACAACCAGAATTAAGTCCACGAAGCAAAATAGCAGAAACAAAATTAATAATACGAAACAAAAAAAAAAAGGATTTTGTACCCTGTAGGGAGATTGTCGACATAGCTGATAAGCATCTTGAGCTTGCTCCCTCCCTCAGAAGCAAGGCCAGCATGCATCTCAACTGTCATGGCATCGGCCACCTGTCTGAGCTTCCCAATCGGCGTCGCACACTTCTCCTCGAATTCCTTCAGTATGGCCATCGCCCGGGCCCAACGACCTGAGCATCGCATCCGATGACGCACGATAAGCGCTGCCGCTGCGCATACAGTCGCAGCACAAATCACCGCGGCTCCAACTGCCACCTTCCCCTTCCCCATTAGATAAAAAGAAAATCGGATAACAACAACTACAGATCTCTCAAAAAGCCCTAGCTTTTCTCTTTTTTTTCTTTCAATGGAGAAAGATAGAAAACCCTAAATTGAGCTCCTTCCTCTGAGAATATCTTGATTCGAGGATTCGAGCAGAGCTCCACGAACAAAAATTCAAAGATACACAGCTTCTTAGTAATCGAAAATAACACACGATGGAACAAAGAAATGTGGATAATGAGAAATCTTTGGTATTTGCGAAGGACAGAAAACAAATTAACAGAATACTACAGTCTACAGCTACTCTCTTCTTCCTCCGACAGTGAAATTTTCTCTTTTTTTTTATTCAAACTAGGTACTCTCTGCAGCGGCGTAGGTTAGATATACATTTTCTCCATTACAGAGTTGTGAAAAATGCAGGAAAAAAAAAGGAAATGAAATCTTGCGAATATCGATACGAGTTTTAAAATGGGAAAATGGACGAATTCGTTCGATTTCTCTTGCGGAAAGAATGGAACGAAAGGAGAAAGGACAGGCCGAGATTTATCACTAATAAAAATTTCTCTTTTTTCATTTTATTTTCCTTTGAATTTCCCTATCTTCTGTTATTTTTTGTTTTGTAATTGCATTTGTATGTAATTATAGGCCCAAAATATGCTGTTGTTTCCTCCTCTGTGTAAAAATGTCAATCCAAATAGGATGGATGTCGTTTTGAGTTTTGTCTCCAATGACCAATCTTAACGTTTTTTCAATCTTAATCTCACGAATGGAATTGGAGATCTACTATGATTACACGTGTCCATGTGAGACGATTTTTACTAAAAATATCACAACGTGAAAAGACAAGTAGATGTCCGGGCATTGAAGAAAATATTTGGAGATCTACTACTACTAGACTTCCCAAATCCCACTCCCAGAGAGACGGGGAGAGATATGGATCTCATCTCACGTGACAAGTAGATGTCCGGGCTTAGAATATTTTGTTCACACGTGGACCGTAAGATTCCTAAACCAAAGACGTGGTATCACATGGTTTACCTCGAAACCCGGAATTAAAAATTAATAATAAAACGCAAAAAAAAAACTGGCGGTATGAATATGAAATGAAATGAAGGAAGACGACGTCGACACGATTATTCGCTTCTCTTCTGACTTCTGGTAATTTATAAATTAAATAATCTATATTGACGTTATATCTGATCAAAGGGTTCCGGATTCCGGCGCTCGTCCTTATCATAGCGATCCATGGTCATGGTCTTTCTCCATCCTCATCCATTGATTGCGTTTGATTGATATTCAGACGTATCCAATTCTAATACTTGCGTGAAGCACGATGAACGATTTTTTTTTCGTTTACCGTTGATGGTTGCGTAAGCGTACTTGATCTTTGTAGTTTAGGTGGGACCTATTTAACTAAGGATGAGAGGGACTCACTTGAGTCCTGATTTCTCATCCCATCTTCTACCTCTACTCTACATACTTGGAACTCGACAGTTGATAAACAGAGTCGGACTGAGCGCTAGAGGTTAGTGGAATAGATGGTTGTGTACATGGGAACTATATCATGTCGGACGTTGAGAAACGCAGCGCAGCATCCAACAACCAACATCCAATGGTGGCACGGTTCCAGATGAAATCAGCTTTTCACAGCTTTGCCATCTGACCCCATGCGCCAGATGCACATGAATTTGGATCTGTTACTCACAGCATGTATCAGCAGCAGCACATCGAGAACATCTCCATTACTTTCTATGTTTTTCAATGGGAGACGTTTTTAATATATGATAAGACATGGTGCTGATGCTAATTTCATACACAGGTCGATATAGGTATCATTTTACCAAGGTGGAAGACGTTAAAGAAATTTCAGAATACCTACTTTACCCTTTTATAAATTTTGTTTTTTAGTTGATTCTATTTGTGACGGTTTCTTATTTTTTTTTGGCTTAGAAAAGGTGGTATCTTTTCTGATTTTTTTTGTTTACGAATCTGTTCGTTTTTATTTTCAGGGTGGAAGATCACTATTGATTCTTGACTTGAATTTACTTCTCCTTGAACCAATTCCACTAATTTCCGAGAAAAAAAGAGAGACGGAAGGGCAGTCGGAGAAGTTGGCTTGTTGATGGGGATGTTTGAAGAAATGGGTTTTTGTGGGAATATCGATTTCCTTGCCCCGTCGATAACGATAGGAGAAGGAGATCCGGTGCCGGAAACTGAACCGGAGGCCACTATGGAGGAAGATTACACTGACGAAGAGATGGATGTAGACGAGCTGGAGAGAAGGATGTGGATGGACCGGATGCTTCTGAGGAAGCTTAAAGAACAGAGCAAGAGCAAGGATGGTGTCGATACTGCAAAGCAGTGCCAATCCTGGCCCAAGAGCAGGCGCGGAGAAGAAGATGTCGCGTGCTAAAGATGGCATCCTGAAGTACATGCTGAAGATGATGGAATCTGTAAAGCTCAAGGCTTCGTTTATGGTATCATTCCTGAGAAGGGGAAGCCTGTGAGCGGAGCCTCCAACAATCTTCACGCCTGGTGGAAGGAGAAAGTCAGGTTTGATCACAATGGCCCTGCCTCACGATGTGAATCTGTTCAATCTGGGAATGGGGTCAGCCAAGGACAGACTTATGGTTCCCCTGCTTTCTCCATTAATAAAGGGTGAAATTAGCAACACAGAATTCAGCAGTAAGAGGAAGCCAACTGATGAACTCGTGGCAACGGCAGATCACAAGATATACAACCGTGTGTATCTTAGGTGTCCTTACAGTGATTATCACCTCGGTAAACTTGACAGGAGTTCAAGGAACAATCAGCAAGCAAATAGCCCCTATAAAAACGTCCGTACAGGGCTTGGAATCTCAAACTTTGAGATTACTGAAGATAAACTAACAGTATTCTCTCTGCCATTCGGACAACCCAAGCCAGCTGCTCCACCACTGAACCCAACCCAATCGACTTTCAGCCTCTCAGGACTTGGGCTGCCAGAAGACAAAAGAGTATCAGCGAGCTTATGTAATTTTATGATAGCAATCTTCAGAGAAATAAGTGCTCTAATCCTGGAAATGTTGCTGCCATGGATGATCAGAATTCTGAGCCGCAGCCCAAAGTTCAACTGAGGAGAACTTCTATGGCCAAGGGCCCGCGATAGGAGGTAACATGTTTGAAGAAAACAACATGCCTTCTGAGCTCAAGTTCCTCTGGCTGATTTGTTTTGGTCAAGGACAAAAGGGGAAGAAATTCGCTCTGGACCACTAATTTCTATTTATGGTCTTTAGAGGTTTTAGAGTTTCCTTTCGAACTTCTCTAATGCATTTGTTGGAGGATTATTTATGACTTCCGGCCAGCCATTGCTTCCATCATCTTCTTGTGCTCCATCATTTTCGGACTTCACTGAAATCCGAAAATCCAGAGCGAATTCTTCCCCTTCTGTCCTCGACCAAAACAAATCAGCCGAAGAACTTGAACTCGGAAGGCGTGGATATCACACGAACTGGTCCGTCCGTGTCCACCATTGATCTGGTGTTGCAGAGCGAGATGGTGTATTGGAGGTGCGAATTCGAGATGTATGTGTTCGGAGTATAACAGTGTGTCATGAATACGTTAATTCGTAAAAAAGTAAAATAGGTATTTTGAAAAAATGATCACCTCTTTAACATTTTTCATCTTGGTCGTCAAAACGTACTTGTTTAATTTTTAAAAAACACAGTAGAGGTTTTTGTTAAAGTGAAACCATAGGGGAGGTTTTTGTATTTTACCCAAATGTTTAAAACAATAAATATAGCCCATCTATAGAAGTCATCCACCCCTACATAAAGACCCCCAAAAACATCCCATCTCTCAATGACAAGTATAGGAAATATTCTTAATGCACGCCGAGATGTGAATGTGGGGCATTACGTAAGACTATGTTTGGTAGAGATGTAAAATCGAATCAGGATAAACTTTACACCCCGGTTCGATTTTGCAGACATTTGGTAAATATATAATTTTACATCAAAAATTACATGTTTACGGTTAATTACATCGATAATCGATGTATTTATTACATCTCTCTCTCTCTCTCTCTCTCCTAACAGCAGGTGGTGTCTATCGGTGGCATTGGAGCAAATCCAAATGGGAGTTCTTCACCGCTAACACCTCCGATGGGGTTTGATTGGGGGAACTTGGAGGCCGATTCAGATGGGCGTTCTCCTTCACTGCCACCACCTCTGACGGGGTTTGATTGGGGGAACTTGGAGGCCTATTCAGAAGGGCGTTCTCTGCTTTTGGGCATTTTACTCTTCCACGGCTGCAACATCTCGTCATTCCAGGGCGTTTTGCTCCTGTTGGTGGCTCTGTCTTTTTGCCCTTTCTCTCTTCTGAGCTTCTAAGAAGGGAGATCTATACACCCCAGTTCCCCCCCCNCTTCTCTCTTTCTCCCTCTGAAAAATCTCCCACTGCAACCAGATATAATCAAACAGGATGAGTGTAAATGGACACAATGGCCGATCAATAATTTACACTCTCACCAAACCATCGTTTCCCAACTCCATCGGTGTAAAAGTACATTTACAACGGAAACAAATGCAGCCTAAGGAACCAAACATATAGTGAACATAGATGATGAGATTAAGTTAGATTCTTTCATATGACAACAACAGCCCAAGGGCCACCGCTAGCTAATGATAGAGACAGGGAGGATTAGTGGGCCGGGTTTAAATTAGGGGACTGTTTCGGGCACAAAGTCTGCAAATCAGGCTTACCCCAGCATAATTACGATGGTAACTAGTAAGACGCTAATTTATAATTCGAAATCAAAATAAAATAGGGTGAACTGAAGATTAATAACCTGTACTTATAGGGGTAATCTTCCTTTATATAAATTAAATAGAGATTTTTTAGTTCTATCATTTGGAGGAAGATGCTATTCATCATCTTTTTCTTTGAGACTAAGTAGTGATAAACTGATAATTAAGTAGTCCCAAACCACAAACCACAATGACTGTTCATCATCTTTTTCTTTGAGACTGAATCAGAATAGTAATAAGTAGGGTCTTAAACCACCACGACCACTCATCGTCATCTCCTCTTGGATCACAACACCACTGTCTTTTAACAATAAAAGACGCCTTTGAAGTATATTATGCAACAAGGACATAAAACCTTTGCATCCAAACGGGTTTTTCACTATTACTAATCACATAAGCCCTTTAAATTACAACATTGAATATAGAAATAGAGACATGGATCCCTTTCACAAGAGGATAAAGGGAAAGGCAAGATGAGGATGAATCACCTAAACCAACATGAGTTGGAGAGGAAGTATTTTTGCTCCATATAAATAAATAAAAATAAAGAATAATTGCTTTTATTAATAATATAAATAAAATACAATTTTAAAATAACCAAAAAATGAAGTTTTTTCCCTCTTTGTTGCCTAGTCAACAATTCAACTTTTTTATTAAACAATATTAAAAATTAAAAAATATGAAAACACACACAAGTACAATAATATAATTAAAAAGAATTGTATAAAACATTTGGGCACATCTGTAATATTGTATATTCATCACACTAAACAAAAATAAGTGTAACAAATGAAAATAATTTTTATAGACATAGAAATATAAAAAAAAATGTATAAAATGTTGGAAACACATTATTTGCTATCATCATAAAAAAATTTTCACGTACATGTATAACTATTAACTCGCCACAAAAAAATGAAACAGCTCCATTTTTGAGTTGGTTTAAGTTTGTATTTTATTTTCTATCATTAATAAAAATAATTATTATTTGTTACACTTATTTTTCTTCAGATATCCAATGCATCAGTTTTGTGAAAAGATCGGATTCTTCACTTTGCAAGACCTAAGTCTTATAACTTCCTCATTGTCATTGATGAATTAACGATGACTTTGTGTTTGCTTCTAAGAGTTAAGGAAAGAATATCCTTTAACTCTTGGGGTCAAAGACTTTGTGTTCGCACAACTACGTGGACCCCGAAGAATAATATCCTTTCAAAATTCAAAACAAGCCCAGCCCAAGTAGAATATTGGGCAAGGGTTGGGTTGGGTTGGGTTAGGGTTAATCCCTTCATCTCGATCCAACCCAAACCCAATGTATCAAGACAAAAACAATAATCATATGTTCTTGTAAGTTTATTTATTCATTTGTTATAATACATACATGCATTTGTAAGTTTAGTACATACTAATTAAATTTCCAATTTGAACCCAACCCAATATTAGAAATGAAAATCTTGGGTTGAAGATTGGGTGGGATCAGGAATAGGGTTTAAGTTTTGACACTGATCTCAACCCGAACTAACTGGCCTGAGTTGCATCCCTACCATCAAGAACTTAACAAGTTCTGGTGGCAATATTAGATGCTCATAACTTGTAACCTGCATTTGTCCTCTATCAACTCAGATTGTTTCTGCACCAGAAAGCGTACAAGGATTCAAATACAATCAAATTATTTTTGAAGTTTGTTTGATCTTTCACAGCAGCTACTCAAGTGGATGAACAGATTGCGATGGAACCACGGCAACCTTCGTTAATGGGGGGAGGGAGTAATTGATTATGAATTTGATATGAGATCATAGCACAGGACGCTTGATTGATATCGTTCCTTCTCTTATCTTTTTTTCTGAAATTAGCAAGAAAGGGTCCGTTTGGTTTGCAGGAATAGGGGTCTGGATTCGGAATAGGCATGGGTTATTCCAATTTCAACTGTATGGTTAGATGGAACCGAAATTTCATTCTCATTTCTGTTAGAATGGCATTCCCTTATTTGAGAGAATGGTCATTCCCTGTCCCTTTCTTGGGAATGAAATCTCATTCCTGTTAATTTTAATTTTCATTCCCATTCTTGTCTGAACCAAACAGACTACAGGAATGGACTATTCTGATTCCGATTCAGATTCTAACTATGAACCAAATGGACCCTAAGACTTGAAGGTGATTTCCTCATCGCATAACTTAGTAACAATATCATTATTGCTATCATATCATCATCATCGTAAAGTTTATACTTTTATTTTGTTCGAATTCCATGATAATCCATTCACGCAACGAAAATGGAAATGCCAATCCACAGATTTTTAGATAAAAATGGCTACTACACCTATGTTTTCAAGAGTGCAAATTCCATGGGAAGAAAGATTCCAGATAACCTCTCTCCCTCCAGTTTAGAATGCCAAGTGGGCTTAATTAATTATCCTCATCCAGATCGAATTCACTCCCTATCAATAACACCCGTCAATATTCGCCACCACCTAAAGGAATCAGGAATCAGCTGTATGACTAGTAAAGGTTTCTTCTAACTATTATATATATAAAATCAAATAGAGGAATTCTTTCTACGTGGCACCTCTGTTGGCAGCTCAAAAGAAAGGCATTGAAATTCCATCATGAAAGGCATATATTGTACCTGAGCAAGGCCAAAAGTTTATCATCACATAACCTATTTTAAGTGGTTCTTGAAAGCAGGTTGAACCAAAGTCAAGCCCTGCCAAACGGTCCCTGAGCCGTGGAAAGATGGGCTATTCCACTTTCCACATCAACAACAGAAAAGTCCAGCATTACAGAAGGAAATGGGCATTTAACCAAAGTGGGAGTTGCATAAGCCTAGCCCACCCTAGATTTTGGGCTAATACGGGCCTAATATTTTAAGCCACTGCCCAGTGCCCAACCTAATTGAATGCAGATTATGGAAAACAGGAAAACTAAAATTGGGCTGGGTTAGGCTGGGAGTGGACATCTATTAATAAATGAACCTGAGCCTGACTATGACAGGTTTGATTCTACGCTAAACAGGCACAGCGACTGACGCGCATGTGTGTTTCTCTTTGTTCGGTTGTTCCTGATGTTTTGCCCCCTGCAATGCAAATATCTAGTGGTGCGTTGTGTACTGCGTCCAAGAAGAGACATCTGTAGTTAGATTCCTGACCTCATGCACCAAATGGTTTGTATCAATTATGGCAACATAAACCATTTTACTGCATTTGTTTGGGTAAAAAGTACAGAGGTTTTTTCAGAATACAGTAACAAGTAGAAGGAATGAAAATCAGTAACCTTTGGTTGTTGCATTTCGGGAAGGAACTGTATACTATCGATAGAAAGAATAGTTGAATCCATAATTGGGGTCCCTAATCCCGGACTCCCGGCCCAACCTAACCTAAATCAGTGTTACTTACACTTCTTGCGCTGAACTGTAATTTGCCACCTGTCTCACGTTTCAATTAATGGAATTGACAACTGGATGGGTCCCAATTGAACAAAAAATTAAAAAAAAAATGACAATTTATGAAACCAAAAATTAAAGCATCAGACAGCTACATTAATTGTCTTGGGTCTTAAGACTCTTCCAAACTTTCAAACCCTACCGGAGTCACTTGTCCAGCTCTGAAGTCTGATCCAAAGAGAAGAAGCAACTTAAAGATTTTAATTTAAGTTTACGATACACGGCAGATAATAAGTAAGTGGAGTTGCAATTAAAAAGGGAAATAGGGAAGTAGGCAATACGAGGTTATTGGACCATGTGATCGACTTGGATTCCAAATTGTTAGTTGGAGTTTGGTTTCATTAAAGTAGACGACATTCTAGCCTTATAGCTCAGTGGCTCACATTGGTCTAGTTGAGATCTATAAATATTATTCCCTATTATTGTGAAGAAGCAGCAGCTAGCCAGCAGGGAAAAAAATCATTAATTTGTCTTGTTGTAGTTGTTAAATAAAACGACAATTTATGGGACCCTCACCCGGCCCTCAGCACTAAGAAACAAAATTTACGAACGGAGTAATTCATGAATCTTGCTTTCTCATTTTTCTAATCCTAATTTCATCAATTACTTGAAACTAAGACAACTTAAAGAGAACAAGCTAGGTTTCAGTAAAGTGAGATGTAAGCTATACATATATATATATATATATAGCTAGCTAAGACAATTGCCCTGGATCCCTCTATTAATTCCCAACCTCGCTCTAGCTAGCTAGCTATGTAGTTCTTCCGTTGATTATATTTCTGCTCATGTAGTATAAAACTACTATTTCCACATCTGTCGTCCATTCTTTTTAATTAATTAAGCTAGCTAGTTCAGTCTAAGTAGTCCAGCAGCGTCCATGAAGAATTAAGGATATGTTTGGCTCGCAGGAATAGGGGTTCGGAATCGGAATCAGAATGGGGTTTGGTTAGGTGGAATTGGAATGCTATGTGAAGGGTAAACCTCAAGATATCCGATGTTGTCGAATCAAGCGCCGAACCGACCTCCAGCGAGGTAAGACTGCCATCGATCCATTTGCCTCCTCCTCCTCCTTCCAAATCAACCGCTCTCGGATCCGAGATTTGTTGCGATTCGGGATCTGCTTCTTCCCAACCTTTTCTTCTTCCTCCTCCCTTCTTTTTTTTAAGCTGATTGCAATATGATTTTTAATTTTTTGCAGATCCACCCCTGCTCTAATTCAAGATCGATCTATTTCTTTAGTGCTTTGGTTCAGGTTTTGGTCACGACTAAAGTGGTTTCATGAGATTACTTGGATAGAAAATTCGATTTGATCAATGATGTTTCTATTAGATTTAGGGTTGTATGCGAGCATTTTGGTTCCCACCTGATGAACAAATGAGGATTACTTTGTATAGTTAAGATTCCCATCTGATGAACAAATGATTTTCCTTGCAGTCCGCTATTGGTTCTATAGCAGCTTCCACAGAAAATGCTTTCATTCCATATTCTTGACGTGATGAAAGTTTTCATGGTGGGGACCTTTACGAGCCCGGACAACTGAACTAGTTGGCATTGTTGCAATGGTTGTTGGAAGAACAAGGATGGAACCTATATTACCACCTTTCATTGAAGCAACAATTTCAGTAATTCACATCTAAAGCATCTTCACTTAGTAAGCAGGCATTTATTTTCTCCAATAGATGATTTATAGGTATTTTTTCAAGGATTTGGATATTGGAGTTGAGTGAAGTTAGAGAATACATGCATGGGTTTTTCAGCAATGCTGCTGAAATTGTGGATGCAAGTATAACTGCCTTGTCAAATTAAATTTTAATGCCAATTTATATGAACTTGGTTCTCTAACCATGAATGTCATATATGTAACAAAGTTCTGTTTTGGTAAACAGTACCTTCAACAATGTTGTGCCTCTTGCATTTTCTTTGTGCAATCTTGACAATTGTTTTGTAGTAGACATTGATGATTCTGATGGTGATGAAAGTGTTAATGGATTTGGTGGAGTTTCTTCTGATGATGATGCTCATGATGAACCAAGAGTGCGCAATATTAGCATAAGAACAGGGGTCTTGGATGAAAAGGTAGCAGCAACTTAGGCCTTTGGACTGCTTGCATTGCATACAGTTGTGCAATGGACTCCAAAAGTAATTGAACCAGCACGGCTTTCATATTGTCGACTGTATCTGGAATTTTAGAGAACTTGGTAAATTTCAGTAGCAAAGAATTTTTCTTTGCTATTATGTATTTTTGTTTTTAAGCATTCATGTTGTACCAATAATATTTCCACCATTATTATAAAGAGATTTTTGTTTGTTTATGTGTTTTTCTTTTCATTTTGTCATATCTTCTCTATATATACACTTGTTAGCAGGTTGCCAACGTGTGTATATGATGAAAATATATAATAAATGAATGCTTTTGAGGTTCTATTAACAGGGGCAGAAACAAAAATTTTGGCTGATTCCGATTCTAGCTTCTATTTAAACCAAACAACAACAATTGGAATCCGATTCCAATCTTGTACGAGAACCAAACGCACCCTAAAGTTAGAAAGAATAAATGAGATGACAGTCGGGAGTTTAAAGGCTAATCCTATGCATGTTTGGTTTAATTTAGTGTGGATGGAGTAATTAGAGGTGGGGGCCAATAAGCATATATGGGTAAGCACTAGCAGGCCTAACTGTGTGCTGCAGATGCATGCCACCAAAAACACATCATGGGTGTCTGTTATTATTGCTGTCTGTCTTCTTTTGTTTACTGGAATTGTTGAGACTAGACTTTGTTTGGATTTGGAAGTGGGCAAGAAATGTTTTATCCCAAACAAAAAGACAACAAGAAAGAAGACAGCAACTAAAGCTTCTTATTGGGGGATATCTTCTACAGTTAGTAACAATGGTGGTTGCCTCTTTCACAGGGCCGGTCATTTTGGATCTGTAAATCCAGACCCTGTAACCCTCTTTGTACTTTGTGGCTAGCTGCTAGTAGCTAGCGTAACAACAACCCTTGAATTGAATGCTTTCGATCGATAAAATGGGTAATTTTGCTTTGCTTTGAAATAATCGACCCTCTCTCCATATCTCTATCAAATCAAAAGAAAACTTACCCTCTTTGAGACATCGATCACCTTTTGTTTCTTCAGTCAAGACTCAAGACCTACCACATGTTTACGAATGAAATACCAAATGATCCGTTGATTGAATTTGTGGGCCATTTGGCAAGGTGTCATGGACCATAAGCCGCAAACTTAAGCCGTCCCATCTGACCCATCTCCTCCTCAGTCATCACAATTTACAAAACAAACGTGGTATTCTTCCCACGTGCGCAATATCCACCAGTCTATGTTCATGGACATGGATGGTGGATGGAAGTAAAAGGTGAGATGATTTCATAGATTCGTAGTGGGTCCTACGTCCAACGTGGAAATTTCTAGGTGGGCCTTGTGGAGGTGCCGTGGATTTTTGGACTCTGTCCATGAATTATGAAATGCGCTCACGTGGGGATTGGGATATTGCATGCGTGTGGGTTTCTTCAACTTCTAGGTTGTAAGCCCACCGCCCAAACTGATCTGATATTCTGATTCTGTTGAGTTTTGCTCTTCTTCTTTCAGCTTTAATTTTAAGAAGAAAAAGGCACAAGAAAGCAAAACTAAGCGCAGGTGACCACTATCTTTCTTTCTCTGAAGGTTTCATTCAAAGAAAAAGTCTAAAAAAACATTAACACGGATACATACAATCCCACATGGACATGTTCAACGTTTAAAACACTGGAAGGAAATAAATCAAGAAAAGATGTGCATTGTACGTTTTCTATAAAGCTTGAGCTAGGCCAACTGTTGCCTTGTTAAGAACTCTTACATTATTAATTACAACCGTCTGGTTTCCATATCAATCCTGTTGTATCTAACTATCTATTGCATTCAATTCTTCTTCACTTGTAAGAATTGCATCGATCTAACTAATATTGTATGGTTGGTAGTGAGTAAAAGAAGGGAAGGGAGAGAACACTAGCTAGGGCTGTTTTTGTTGTTTGTGACTGATATGCATGCATGCGACGCAGCTGCTTAATTTGGTTTCATCAATCAATAACCATCATGGCCAAGGCCAATATGAATATGTCCATCCATATTCTACTTTCCTTTTTCTGGTTAATTCTTCATTTCAATTTTGGGGGAATTATATATAAATGTGATTTATAACCTTTAGGACGTAGGTAGATTGGAACCTTTTTTGGTCTTCCAACAAAGTGTAAAAGACCAGAAAAGAAAAAGAGATTCCAACCCAGAATCCCAATATATAATAAAATAAAAGTGGGACGAGATCTAATGAAATGGGAAGGAAGGATCTTCAATGGCAAGCGGTAATCCTGCTTTAGGTGGGGTGCTGACATGTGTCAATTTGTAATTAGTTACTTAGTAATATGTTTAATACAAGTAGACTGTTTATAAATCCGCAATTGATTTTCAGGCGATTTTTTTTTTTCAACTATATTTCTATCCTTATTTTACAAGCAAATGCAAAACTTTTGTTTTTCTTCTTCTCATTTGCTTTTAAACAAATCAAAAAAAAAAAAAAAGAAAACAAAACGTTTGCTTTTAAAAGGGATGGTTAATTGTTTTAAGAACTAGTGAACTAGATTCCTTCCAGTTGCTGTACTTAATTTGTTAACAGTTGCTGGAGCTAGCTAGCTTCAGGTAAGGTACATGGTGAAGCCCTCTACGCTCTAGCCTCTAGCTCTAGCTAGGAAAACCACAATTTAATCATTTCGTTTCACGTGGAATAGGGACAAGCTTTAGACATTCAGGGTTACTTTCCTCCCGTCTGCATTTCCAGGATTTCTTATTCTTCTTTACTGCTCTATTCGATTCAATAAAATCATATTACTAGTCTAGCGGGGAAAGAAGGAAAAAAAAAAGCAAAAAGTTTTTCCCTAAAATATTACTGTCACATGATTTTGCTTTTGATATTAATCCAATGGCATGAAAGCAAAGCCTTACACCAGGTCCAGCAGGGTGCCAGGGTCCCTCACTCCCTCCTCCTTTAATACATGCATATGCGATATGCCTGAGCCTGACTGCACCACCTGCAGTAATTAATCGATGCAAAATCCCGTTGGCATTGGTGTTTCTATTGTCACAGCGTGGTGGTCAGACTCAGATATATGCGGTGAACTGGTAAGCCAATGAGCTTTTCTGGTTCCTCTGCGTTAATTATTTGACTCTTCTTATAATCGCTGGTTAAACTTAAACCAGCTGTAAAACTGTGACCTGTGGTGAGCTTTCTGAGTTTCTGGTCTGGTTTGCATACTACGTCAATCACCCACTATTTTATTCACTCTCTTCTCTCTCTCTCTCTACTTCATGACTTGAAAAAAAAAATCAGTATAAGTTTAGGTTAATGTTGCTATCACTTACTTGATCAAGCTCTACAACATCTGAATACATGAGTTTCAGGAATTGTCAAGGTTATTAGAATAATGGCATTTCTTGATTTGGTTAATTAATAGTTTTTTTTTTTTTTTTCTTCTTACCGGTTTTCTATTGGTACTTTTGGATGTTAACTGCATGCGCCCCTGGTTTAGAATGAGAGCATCTCATAGTCATCACTTAAGTCCTGGTGGTGGACCTACCGGCCAGATCGAGGAAAGGGCCGATGAGTTTCACTTGGGACACAACTGCATGCGCATTTGACAGTTGACACCCACCACCAAGAGTAATATGCATATTATGTTCAATTGTGAACAGCCCAATTAAGTTGAGTTCAACTACGTACACGTATCAACAAATTAAAACCCAATAATGAAAAATGCAAATTAAAAGAAGAACCAGGCTAGGAAAATATGATAAAGCTGTAAGTGGGCAAAGTTAAAGAGAAGAATAAAAATAAATATTAAAGAAATAGGGAAAAGCTAGGAAGTGAGAAATGATGAGATGCCGAGTTCAACTAGGTAGACGTAGATGGATGCATTTAACAGGAAGGAACCCTAACCCCAACACAAGCCCAGTACTGTCACTGTCTCTGGCTGCTCATTTGCTATAAAAAAGCAATCTTGCAGTTGGTACTTACACGACAGGAAATGTGCTCTTCTCTGTCAATGACGAATGGGATGGAAGTGTTCGGTGTTCCCCCCTACTCCTATCTCTCCCAACCCCCTCAGGCCTCAACCCTTCAGGCTTCACGCTTCATTCAAAGTTCAAACACCCCTTCTCAAGATATTCGGATCCATTCATTACTTTTTGTTATTTATTTCATATTTTTAATATAGAATATGTACTTTGTACCCTTCATGTGCGCCTACTTCTTTGTCTACTTAATAAGATAAAAAAGCCAAGTGAATATATATATATATATATATATATATATATGGTACACTCAGAAATCAGAATTCTATTTAGAGATGCCATGGAATGTTTCAGGTCATTCTCAACTCAACGACTTCTCCTCTCCTCGTGTATATATATATAGCCTAGGTAAAAGCATCTCCACTCTGCACTTCTCCAGTTGGCCAATACTGACTAAGTGAATTTGGGTCTAGGCCTGCCTGTTAATGATCGGAAGAAGCCCAGGCCCAAAAGGACCCCTGTCTCTGCCTGCTTAAACTTGGGCAAGTTGACTGTTCCGCGCCGCGCGAATGGCGCAATGCATTGGAATGGAAGATATGGATATATAAGTTATGACACACCCCCCTCCAGCCTCCAGTCCTGCCATTATTACAAGTCCAAAATATATCAGAACCAGCCAGTGAGGCCCATGCCACCATGACCTTAGACAAAAGCATTATTACTTGCAACAGAGCCTGCTCCCCACCTCCATATGATTTTGTAATCAGACGGTCCGTGAGGGTCCACGATTAACTTCGTACGACCTATTTTTTCTAACCACGTAATGTTGTTATCGTCCACACAAGTTTTGGCTTAGGACGAACGGGCCTGTTGCACCTAGCTGGTACCATCCATACTGATACTATAGGCAAAAAAAAAAAAAAGATTAAAGATGTTACCGTGTCAGATGGGTTGGGTTGGCATGAAACGTTATCCGACTTCCGACCCAGCCCAGAGACGAGAGAGTGGGCGAGGGAGGGAAATAGAGAAAGAGACCGCAGGTTAAGGGGGTGAAGTTAATAGCTGGTCTGGTATTGTCTCCTTCCTCCCATCTGTCGGCAATTCAGAAATCAGACACGGCGGTATTACGACAATTTCGTACTCTCATCCTAAGGGAATTGCCATTCAGATCTTAACCGTTTGATCAAGATGTGGATGAATGATATGGCTTTCAACTGAAACAATGTGGGGTTCTACCCCGACAGAATCCTCTTCTTTCCTACCGTTATATCTTACTCATACGTAGACGACATCAAATCTCGTTGAGAATCCAACGGCAGAAATCTCTATCTACCGTGCATTAGTAATCAGTTAGGAAATGACAGCTTTCGCGGGCCCCATGGGGTCTTCCGTCAGTCACGCTCCACGCAACAAGACGGAAATGGATACTAAGAAAGTTTCCATCAAATACACAAGGCCCACGTGCTTCTGATGTGAACCCACTCTTGCGAGAGAGAAGGAAAGATACACTGTTACCAACAATTATATGTGCACGGATCGGACGATTGTCAGATATCCTTATTCATATCCTGAGGTCACAGATTAATGTCCTAGCTGGCTAGCTGGCACTCCCATCAAACAATTATCTCTCCTTTCCAATCCAATAATGAATTTCTTCCTCATTTTCTTTTCTTCTTCTTCTTCTTCTTCTCCTTCTTTTTCTTTCCTTTTTTTTTTCTACTAGCTCCCCAGGTCATCTATTTTTATCCAGAGTTTGTTTCTTCTTTTCAGATTGGCCACAAGAAGTAAAAAACGTCATTCCTTGACCCAGCACAGAAACTCAAGTTCCCACTTTGGGCTTTGGAGTGCAAAAGCCCCATTTTGGTAACTTACGACCACTTTACTGACGTGTAACTCCATATCGGCTTTCGACCCAATCGTTCGTCACACTCCACCTGGCCAATCAGATGATGACGTGTATCTCCACCTGAGTTTGTGGACAGTCCGATTGTGCGAAGGCCGGTCAATCTTGCGCGCCCGGACGCGCGTGTAAGAGAGAGAGAGAGGGAGCGCGCGCGTATGATATCCCACGTGTCAAACTCACATACGAACGCCATGAAATAAATGTTGGAAAATGCCATTATTTTTCGATTTTGTATGGACAAAGAGGAATGCCATGCCATGGACGTCTATCTTAATTCCTATATATTCTCGCTACTTCGTCATGTTTGTTTTAACAGATTTCAACTGTCAAAGTAACTGAAAATTTTAACAATTTTTTAATTATTTTCACTTATTTAATGTCTACGCCCAATGCCAAATTCCTATTAATTTTGCGCATGTGCTGTGAACTGTGAAGGAGCACCGTGCACGGCTGCCGTAGATAGTCGAACTCACCGTCACCGAGGAATAGGGTAGCTCTCCCCGCCCCTAACTTTCCGTATCGGAAATTGGAGCCATCTCTGTCCCGTAAAGATAAAGTTTTTAGGAATTGCATACAAGAAAAGTCAGTGAAGTTCTTTTTTATGTTAATTAATTTATCATTAAGGATTATTTATTGCAAAAACAAAGTAATTTAAAAAAAATGAAATATTTACCTGACTTTTATGCCTTGAAAAGTGGATAAATTATTAAATTAATGGGTTGGGTTGTAGGTTATAAATTTATAGCACTACCCGTATGCGCTCGTTAAAACAACCCTCAGGCTCAGAGAAAAATATCCAACCCGACAAAAAATTAAAAAGAAAGAATTATGAATGGAAATACTCAGACTCGGACCTCCCTACAAGTCTATATTAAGGCTCTTCTTCCTTATCGACTAGAGCTCAAGAGACCATTCTCTATCTCTTCGAGGGTGATAACAGAGAGAGAGAGAGACAGACAGAAGAGGTCCCGTGCTGGAGTGCTATTCATGAGATCATCTCCAACCATAGCCGAAGCAAAGGAACATTTGGAAACAGAAGATTGTCTGAATCACCATGTGTAATCCAAACACCACCGGCGCCACAACCACAACCGCTACTGCTGTGATCGAAAATCCAGCACAACCACCAAACAAAAAACTCTGTTTAGCTCTTCTATCAATACCTCCCAACAATACAAAGGGCCTGGAAAACCCAGAGCCACCCCAAAAGAAGCAAACCCAATTTACATACCCAACAATCTCAGATATCATTACAGAAGCCAAGTCCCTCTTCAACCTCTCATTCCCAACCGCTCTCACAGCACTCCTTCTCTACTCACGCTCTATCCTCTCTATGCTCTTCCTAGGCCATCTCGGTGACATTGAACTTGCTGCAGGCTCTCTCGCCATCGCCTTCGCCAATATCACCGGCTACTCTGTCCTCTCCGGTCTCGCTCTCGGCATGGAACCTCTATGTGCCCAAGCATTTGGAGCTCAGCGTCCCAAGCTTCTCTCCCTCACCCTACATCGCTCCGTTATTTTCCTTCTCTTCTCATCCATACCCATCTCCCTTCTATGGCTCAACATGTCCAAAATTCTTCTATTTCTACACCAAGACCCTGACATTACACACATCGCTCATACATACCTTGTATTCTCTCTTCCAGACCTCCTCACTAACTCCTTCCTCCATCCAATCCGCATTTACCTCCGCGCGCAGGGCATCACCTACCCGCTCGCGTTAGCGTCATGCGTCGGGACGATCCTCCTCATACCCTTGAACTGCTTCGTGATGCTTCACCTCCAACTCGGCGTCGCCGGCGTCGCAGCCGCTTCTGCAGCCTCGAACTTATTCGCGTTGTTATTCCTCATCGGGTACGTGTGGGCCAAAGGGTTACACGTGCCAACGTGGACGACGCCTAACAGGGAGTGCTTGACCGGCTGGGAACCTCTTATCCGGCTAGCGGCGCCGAGCTGCATCTCCGTGTGTTTGGAGTGGTGGTGGTACGAGATCATCATCGTGTTGTGCGGCCTGCTGGCAAACCCGAAAGCGACGGTGGCGTCGATGGGTGTGTTGATGCAAACGACGGCTCTGATTTACGTCTTCCCGTCTTCCCTCGGGTTCGCTGTATCAACACGTGTCGGAAACGAGTTGGGCGCAAATCGTCCGGACAAGGCCAGGGTGGCGGCGGTCGTGGCGGTGTTTCTAGCGGTTATGATGGGATTATCAGCGACGGCATTCACATCGGGGATGAGGGATAGGTGGGGACGTATGTTCACGTCGGACGCTGAGATCCTACGGTTGACGTCGGCGGCATTGCCCATCCTAGGGATGTGCGAGATTGGTAACTGCCCGCAGACGGTAGGGTGTGGAGTGTTGAGGGGGAGTGCGCGGCCTAGCACGGCTGCTAACGTTAACCTGGGTGCATTTTATGCGGTGGGGATGCCGGTTGCAATCGGGCTTGGGTTTTGGCTGGGGGTGGGGTTTTGTGGGCTCTGGCTGGGGTTGCTATCGGCTCAGGTCTGCTGTGCTGGGCTCATGTTGTATGTAGTGTGGACCACCGATTGGGATGCTCAAGCAAGAAGAGCACAGCTACTGACCTGCGCAGTATGTGGGGAAGCTGAACTCCAAAGTGGTGGCATCGAAGAGGAGCCGTTGATATCCATCAAATTGATGGTTTAGATTTTTCTTCTTTCTTTCTTTCTTAATTTTCATTCATATCTTTTGCCCAATTATTTTTGGGTTGTGAATTATTGAATTCTTTTTTTTTTTTCTCTCTCTTCTTCTTCTTCTTCTTCTTCTTCTTCTTCTTCTTCTTCTTCTTAGTTAGAATTTAGAAGAAGTTGGTCACTGGTCAGTCCTCAGTCGAAGCCCGAAGGACTTAGGAACTTGGTCCTTGACAAAAAAAAAGTTTTTTCTTTCGGTTAATAGAAAATTTGTATCTTGGTTGTATATCTGCATTACTCTAAAATCTAAATCTGATTCTTATCCAGTAATTTCATTGTTGAGGGCTTGCCAGTCTGCAACTGTTGAATTACCAACCCCACACTAATTTGGAGTTTGGAGGTCCTATCTCACGCCCTCTGTCATATTCTAGTCCTCTCCGCCTGAGGCTCTTAAGAGCTCAGTTTAAAACAGAGTTCTCTGCCTCTAGGATTTCCAAATAACTGCTACCGCCTTGTAAAAGGATTTTGAATTCCACTGCAATCCGTGAGGTTCAACGTACCCCGCTTGAGCTTGACTGGTTGACCTTTAACTTATATTGACAATGGCGGGCTTGTGTACTGATCAACATCCAGCAATCAAAGTAACTCCAACTTTACACATTCAGCCCATTTCCCAACTTTGTTCACTATAACCGATATCAATTAAAGAAATTCAACTCAGTGGTAATTTCAACTTTTAAATTCCATTCATTTCGGAATTCAGTTACATGTAAAAACCTTGAACCCTAGAGTGTCAGGAAACTTGCACAATAATGGTTTCAAATTCCGTTCCCACTAAATTATAAGAATAAATTAGCAGTTATTATGCTGCCAAACTTGTTTGAGCCTTGCGAAATACTGCCAAACATGTTGTAGAATTGCGAAACAGGTTGAAATGGTAGACATGAAATATCAAAGAGTGAAGAGGCAATATCTGCTCTCTCTCTCTCCATACAATGCTGGCATGCTGCAATTGCGCTTGCAAAGATTGTCTTAGTTTGATATGTTTGCCCAAATGAAAACATCAAAACCCATCGTGCCGCAGCAGCAGCAGAAGCAGCGCCATTTGAGCTGAACTTATGGTCCCATCACATCTCCAGTGATTGGAACAAGTTGCATTTATTAAATGCATGGTTTCCAGAAGAAACAGGCATAGCAAAGTCTCAATCAGAATTCAGAGACATGGGAGGGAGCGGAGGTGAACTTATTAAGAATAATAAAAGATAAATGTGCACGACACAAAATGACATAAAATGGAAAATGCTCTTCTATCCAAGGAATTATCAACTTTTGGCTTCTAGCAAGGAAAAACATCCATCTATGCAATTCTTCTGTGTTGTTGCATCCTACCCTACTGGGAGTGGGATGTTAGCTTTCTCATTTTATACACTCCACTTGTATTCTTATCATTTCTTCTTTTTTTTTTCTGTAGGGATTATAAGAGCAACAGAAGAGATGTTAATCATGGGCCGATCACTTGGGGCTCTTACTTTTTGTCCTAGCTTGTTGCATGCATCCATTGAACCAGCCCATCATCAGCAGGCCCTACGCCCTATCATGCATGAATATCTGTTCAACTGTTCTTGTCTAACATATACATTTCACCCTCTTAGTCTTAGAGTTGTGTGTTTACAAACAAATAACTGCTAGATCTAGTAAAACTTTGAGATGCCAAGTTAATTATCTATTATTGTGTCACATGAATGGATTCTATAGCGGATTGAAACCAGTCATCAGATAGGGACCCACTCGATTGGCCATATGTTCAATTTCCCAGCCCCATATCAACTCCACAGCGCACACTATCTTTCACTGGATACTCCAATCTCAATAATTGTGCTCTATATATTCAGTTTTTTGTATGACGTGGCAAATACCTTTTTGACCGACAATTTTTCCATGAAGAAATGGTGGCTACAGGGATATTCATGGAGACTATTCCTTTTTGAGCTCCAAACTATATAGTATATGTTGCCATGTGGTATGTGGAGGATTTTTAGGTAGTTTTGGTAAACTTCAATAAAGAACCAAACTAGCAATGGGGCAATAATAAACACTCAATGTCATATTATTAGCATAGAATATAGTTTGGTGTTATATATATATATATACTGTTTTTATACATTTATTTATCCAACCAAATACAGCCTCCATGTCCAAATGCAATAATATTTACATAAAATTGTAACTTACTTTATTTGGCTTTGGTTGACAACACTACTATTTCAAGTCTTGAACCAACATTTCACGAGGAATAATAGCAGTAAACAATGATAAGTTTATGCAGCTTACTCTGTTTTGCTTTGCCCTACAGACCACACCACACATAATCCAATTTTGAATTTTGTCTTGTAGTTTTCTTAATGGGTCCCATTCTCATTATGTCCTCCTTAAACTTAGTTGGCTAAGCAATCAGTAAGACATAGGTGTTATGTTGGAATGACTGGATTGTACACAAGTCTTGCACACCTGTCACACATTGATTGCTTAGTTGCAGACTTGCAGTAAATCTGAGGAAAAGAAAGTTGCACTCGTGATAAGCCATGAAATATCATCAAAGAGGTTAAGTTATGGGCTCCTCCTTCTTTTTGGTTGTTTAACCCCACAAAAGAAAGGGGAGTTAAAAGGGTGATGCTAACAATTAACAAGGGAAAAAGGAGGTGTTTTACGAGGAAGATGAATGACAAGGGTGAATTGTTTAACTTTGGATAAAAGGAGATTGACATCGGAGGGGGAAAAGCAAACAAAAGGTGAGTTTGTCGGTTTTGTGTGGCAGACGGCTTTATGCAGTATCGCACGAGGATGAGGGACACAAGCAGCTGGGTGGATTGGGTATACATGAAATGAATTCACTTTACTTTATTGTCTTCTTATCTGCTGCTCTCTCTGCTCGATGAGTAGTATATATTTATGATTCCTTCCCACATAAGTCTCGAAACTCGAAAGTGAACGTGTGGTGGTGGCTCTGAAATCCAAAGTCCAAGGACTCCAAATGGTTGGTCGGTCTCCAAAAGAAAAAGTTACCACATATGTCTAATCATAGCCTAGGCAAAAGGGCAGGACCACCATTCATATGGGTCCCGCCCACTATTTATATAACTTCTCTTGTCCCAAGTCAAACACCCCCCAAACCCATAACATATCTTCCCCTCCCAACTCTCAACCATGCATCCAATCACATTAATTCTTTCTCAAATTTAAAATGAAACCGATCGAGAAAAACAAAACCCAAAACTCTCAAGGGTCCAAAAGGATTCGGTGCCTCATCATTCATTGAATCCAAGTTATTGTCTTATCCTACATTGAAGTCGTCCAACTGGACGACCCAAAAACAAATTATTCCTCACCCAAAAGAAAGAAAAACTGACAAATCAAGAGAAAGAGAGAGATGGTGGTGGTTCTCTTGTGTTCTGCTTCTTTTCCTTTTTGTTTTTGTTGGCAATGGCAAAACAAGGTTTCAATTCATTCAGGTAAAGAAAAAAGAAAAGCAGGGTCTACAGGCAGAGGCAACCAAATCCAGTGGACAAAATGAACGAAGACCGCCCCTACAAGTCCACAACTAACTACAACTACAACAAAAACACGACAAAATGCGGAATGGGGAGCACTCTGTCCATGTCCCACCAAAGAATATCAGAGTTTAGTCTACCCACCAGGCACCATCTCATGGGTTTGGACGTTGAACACGTGATACCCACATGGCTTCAGGCCCATCATTTGGACTGCGCGCGGGGCGGTGGGAGAGCTATTCCTGAACCCGGCCCATCATTTGGCTTCAGGCCCCACCAGTTTTCTGGATTTTGGTTGGATATTCACAACTTGGGGGGTTGACTACGTGTCCCCATTTAGGTCAACCATTCTACCATGCCGTTACTTGTTACAAACTTACAAGTTACAACCACACCATTCTTTTTAAGGGACGTTCCTGTACTAAACAATATATGGCATGTATGTAGCGGTGGCAATTGGGCGGGTTGGGTTTAACATCAATCCAATCCATCTAACCCGCTAACCCGTTAATCATCTAGTTATATAAAATTAAATGAGTTGGGTTCAACCTAAATTCGCTTTAACCCAATCCAACTTGTTCAAACCCATTCCATTAACAAATAAGTTGGTCATAGCTTGGTAGTAATTATAGTTACTATTTACACAAGTGGTGAAAGTTGAAATCACATTATATGTATGTTATTTTTACACAAGTGGCGAAGCCATTTGACTACATTCAGATTTCGGGTGACTGAACCATTTAGGTTTAAACCGGTCAGATCAAGCTGAATTATCTAATTGGATTATCTTCGAGCTAATCACATCAATGGTGGTTGAACCGCTTAGACCTGGATCAGTCCGGTCAAACAGGATTGGTTTAGTCAATAGTGGATTAACTTGGACCAGACCATATCAGGTTCGTGCATGGATTTGGGATCAAACCGACTGACCCGAAGTGGGTCAATGTAAGTAAATTGGGTTGGTCCGGATTCAAGTCGAGTTTGTGTGGATATTGGTTGGAGGGACATTTCAGACTAGGCAAAGTACGCGAACTCCGAACCATCATGCCTTAAACCGTTTCGGATTCGGGATGGTCCGTATCAACTCGTATCGGGTCGAGCCATGCTGTGTGAATGTTGGTTGGATTGTACGACCCAAATCGAGCAAAGTAAGTAGTAACCATCTAGCCTAGTGTCTATTTCGGATTCGGGTCGACCCAGATCGGGTCAGACTGTGTGAATACTGTTTAGACCAGATAACCCAAACCGAGCAGAGTAAGCAGTATCAAACCATCCCACCTGGGGTCTATTTCGGATTCGGGTCGACCCGGATTGGGCTGTGTAAATACTGGTTGGACCGGATGACCCAAACCAGGCAGAGCAAGCGATACCGAACCATCCTGCCCAGGGTCTATTTCAGATTTGGGTCGACTCAGATCGGTATATATTGGATCGGATCAGACTATATTGAACTGGTCCGAACTCGGGTCAAATTGATTTGGATTTATGTTGAATAAAGTGTATTGATTCAAGACAAAACTAAATTTAATCAATAATTAATAAAAAAATAATGCATTAATTATAAATTATTTAATTCAAACGAAGAAAAACAAAAAAAATATTTATGTTTATAATGATTAACCTAATGATTATCCACATTCCAACCCTTTTAAATGGGCGAATTAAATGAACGGATTGAATGAATTGGATGAAAAATTGCCACCCGATGCAGATGCACATGCACATCGGCCGA